TTAAAAGACCACTAATAACAGTAGTATATTGTGTTTTTGTTGGATAACTATAAAAAAAAGTACACATATATGATTAAGCTATTCATAATATTATTCATTTTAAAATGCTTAGGTATTTTCATGCAGCTTAGATCGATTCAGCGTCATGATAAACTGTGCCTTTTGCACTAGTATGATTTCTTTTATTCTTATTACATTACAATCGCTCTCTCATTGCAATGAAACTAACTTAGCACAAGGCAATAGTAAACTTCAATAAAATATAAGAACATTATACTTACATCAAATTATAATTTCTTTTTAGGTCATAAAATATTGCATCGATCACAATCGATCTGAAATTACATAATTTATCAAATTTCTCCATTTCCTTATGATTAATTGCATTTTTGACTTGATTAGGCAAATCTGGTAATACATATGGATCTGGTAATAATTTTACAGATGTTGAACAATTTGTTGTGATTGGTGGTATAATAGCTGTTACATCTGTTGATAATTGAACTGCATCATTATGTTCACTTGTTTTTTGTACACTATCATCGACAACGGTTGCTGTTACCTGATGTTGTGGCGATGATGATGTTAGATTTTCTCTTGTTGTTTTTGTCAAAAATAACTTTTCTCTTTCTTTTAAAAAGAGTATTTGATTTTTGTACGACAATGTAAATGGTTTTAACAGGTCAAAGTCATTCATATAAAACAATGTATCACCATCGATTTGTTTCTCTGAAATATAAAAAAAAAGTTAAAGAAGTGTTTTAATGAAAAGTTTTTTCAAAATGAGTAGTTACATCACAAAGCATTATGAAAGTTAAAGTAGAAGAAAAAATACTGAAACTGTTTTCTCTCTAAAATATTAGTTTTCTTTCGTTAATCTTGATGTTAAATTAACAACGCAAAAATCATCTATCTTGTATAGGTCTAGACCTTTATGATAGTAATGTAAATCATTTGGCGTAACAATTTTCAGTGTATTGGACGACTTAACTTTATAGCTCCACAGATTCTCATTAAAAGCCTCTGTACGTAGCAGATCTACAACAAATAACCATTGTTGATTAAATTTAAATATGTGAAGTATTTGTAACAATGATGGAATTTCCTCCACATATTCTAAATCATACACATAAATAGCATCTTTTTTATACGCAATATGATTGTAAATTAATTGAGAGCATTCATGAATTGGTTGGTCAGGTTGCATGAATTGTTTTCCGAATTGTTCAATGAGAAAGGCTTTGGTTGTTGAATTTATACTATGCATCTCAATTTTTTTAATACTACTGGCTTCATCAAATGTTTTCAAGAATTGACATGCAGATAGCAAAAAACAATGTCTTAATTGTTGTCGTTGAGCCAGTGTTTTTGGAATATTTTTGAAGTTGTAAGATTGAAGGGCAATTTTTTTGAAATAGGCGTGTGCACCCTCGTATCTCATACACCAATATTTGATTGCTGGTCCATTCTCTTCTATTATTTTCCAGTATTCACTCACGAAATGTACTTTAGGTATGACCTTTTCAGGCAGAAGCTCAACCATCATACTCTGAAAGTTAATAGCTAATGTTTCAACATATGGTAGCCAGCTCTTTCGCGTAGGTACAGCCAACACCATGTCCAGTATTTCACGCA